AACCGGCCGAGACGACCGAGTGAACCGGTCCGAAGGAACCACAACTGGGTTACGATCCGGTCGGTGTGGAGCTGGCTGAGCAGGCCGACACGGAGTGCTGGGCTGAGAGGTGTTGGTGATGTTCGGTGTAGATGTGCCCATGAGCGCACGAGCGTTGATCTGTTTGCTGGAGGCGGTTGGCTCTATCCTGCTTGCAAGCGGACCGGATCCAACGGGCGTTTGACCTGCAGATCAAGGCCGAGCAGAGAGACGGACTCTTGCTCCAAACCTGATCAAAATTAGCAATAAATGCCTAGTAATTAGATGTGATTGCCTGGCTAACCAACGCATTGAAGAAGGGAATTCCTCCCGACCAGGATCTGCATGCACGAGGCGTTAGTTAGTAGTAATTAAGCAAGATGGGTTACCGTTCATGCATGTGAAGGAAGTTTCCTTCTTCCACGGGCCATTTATCTCCCTGCCGGTTTATTGCTAGATCATGGGCTTGTGCCTCCACTGCGGACGTTGCAGCAGGGCAGCAGGCACCGGCGGGAGGAGTCGCCGTGCATGGGGGTGCGGCCCGCCCTGACACCCGCACCGCGTCGGGCCAGTGCCACCTCCGCGGAAGCCATGGCGGGTCCACGACACCTGCGGGAGGACTCGCCTTGTGCGAGTAGCGTGACCGGCCTCCGACAGATGCGCCGTGTGGGGCGCACCGTCCATGCGGCGCCCTGCCGTGCGGGAATCCGGGCAGTTGGTCGCAGAGACCATGGCCAAGCGGACGATCGGAGGAAGGAGCGGGCCGACGATGATGGAGTCAATGGAGCGGTTGCAGCGGACGTAGACTTCACCGAACATTCATGCGGGAGCCAGATCGTCGATCGAGACTTCATGCAAGAAGAAGAGGAGGTCGTTCCGAAGGGAGTCGCTGCAGCATGCCGCGTCCGGGCATCGGGAAGATGAGGCGGTCTTCCTCCACGCCTGGTGCCCTATCTTCTTCTTACTCTCGATCCATGATCGATCATTTGCATCATGGCTCAATAGACGCCATGCCCCACGGTGGGCGCCAACTGTCGTGGGAACGATTCCGACAATAAGAGAGGGGTAGGATAAAGGAGCATGATCTATCGAGATGCAAATGGGTGACACGGTGGTTTTAGCGAGTTCGGGCCTCTCACGGTGAAGATAACAACCCTATGTCTCGTTCTCCGGAGAGGCTTTGTTTTATCTGAGTATGTATCCGGAGATTACAATGTACAAGAGACGAGAACGGATCCTCAAGGTTGAGCTAAGTCCTGAGACTAGAGAGAGAGAGATAATTAGAAGAAAGAGAGTGGAAAAAGAGCCCCCTAGCCTAGTGGTGGTGGGTGTCTTATATAGAGTGTGCCACCCCCTCACCTTCTATGTTACAAAGTGGGGGCGTTAATGCCATAACTCAACCTACTACTAAGATGATGCTTCGAGTGTCTTGTCAACTGCTGGTCTTCGCATATCCGAGTGAGATCAGGTGCTCTGAATGGAATGAGTTGGTTGAGTGGAGTGCTATGCTCCGAGTGGTTGTTGTCATCCGAGTGACTTGATGGTCATCCGAGTGGATAGTATGTCCGTATGAAATTTATCTGGACCCACATGTTATGTGGACCCCATGCTTTATGATATTTCGACCCTTCGTGGGCCTACCTCTTATGTGTATCCCCAACACCCCTCTCGAACGATGCGGACGGCGGCGGCTTAGCGTCCAACGACGTGCTCATGGAGCCGACGTCGACGTCGATGAGCTCGGAGGACCTCGACAGCGACGACGAGCAAAGAGGGTGCGGGAGGAGAGGGAGACAACAAGCTGGTGCGGTCCGACCAGGTGGGCTGGTTTATTGGTCATGGCATTTTTGCAAAACCCCCGGATCGACTAGTATTCACCCTAGGATCGACCAGGTGTCGGTTAAAGCGAGCTGGCGGCCGCTGACTCGGCCAAGTCAGCAAATACGTACACGAAACCGTACGTTTGGACCAAAGTGAACCCCTCGCGCAAGTACGTGGACTGTGCAAAACCCCCCGGATCGACTAGTATTCACCCTAGGATCGACCGGGTGTCGGTCAAAGCGAGCTGGCGGCCGCTGACTCGGCCAAGTCAGCAAATACGTACACGAAACCGTACGTTCGGACCAAAGTGAACCCCTCGCGCAAGTACGTGGACTGTAGTTAGGGTATTTTGAAGTAGTGGTACCAAACTGTCAGCCAACTCAAGTTTAGTGACGTACAGTGAATTTTTCTCAAATTTAATTGAAGTGCACAATTCAAACATTAAACTATTTGATTTCCTTCTTGGTTTTCATTGTGGGTCCATATATGCTCCATAAGATTATTGAGTAGCTGCATGTGCACCTGTTCATCTCGAAGATTCCGGTGCATCTGCAGAATTGGATCTGCATTTTGATCCGTGATGTGTATATGTTCTCCAGGCTTCTTGAAATCATGGGTTCGGGCTGCCTGTTAACACGTCCCTGGCAACCATATTATGCAAAATGACACAACATGTCATTAGTTGCCATGAAGTCTCTGATTTCTACATCATTGCAGCTCCACGAACAATTTCCCAACGAGCTTGAAACACTCTGAATGACCTCTCCACATCCTTTCTAGCTGCTTCTTGCATTGCTGCAAAGCGCCTTTGTTTGTTGCCATGAGGATCGGATATGGTCTTCACAAACGTCACCCGCTGAGGATAGGTACCATCTACAAGGTAGTATCCCTTGTCGTAGTCATGCCTGTTGACAGTGTAGTTGCACATCGGTGCTTCCCCATTGCAAAGTCTCCTGAATAAGAGAGATCGCTATAGCACATTGATGTCGTTGTAAGAACTAGGCATGCCAAATCCATAGTCATTTGTTGACACTGCTTCGAATATGATGGTGGCCTCTTTGGTGTGATCTTGATACATTCCACGCAAACATCTAGGACAGTTCTTTCATTGCCAATGCATGCAATCAATTGAAACAAGAATATCTAGAAAGCCTATCGCCGCTCCAATAGCCATCAACTTTTCCGCATCCTACACATTTGGTTCTCTCAGATACTCTGCTCCAAACACTTGCACCACGGGGCGACCAAATCTCACAGTGGTCTTCAGGGATGTGCTCCCATCCGTACCATCTCACTAACGGCATCGGCGGCGGTACCAAGTGCAAGCATCCTTGTAGCAGCCGTGCACTTCTGCTTAGCACACAACGAGAGTTCTCCAGAACAATCGTGGATCAACTTGAAGTAGGAATCATATGCCTCCACTCCCTCTACCACGAGGAAGAACAATGGTTTGCGCATATGGAAGTGTCGACGAAGCCATGTATGAAGGAATGTTAGCACGGGTTGAAAGTAGTCCTCGTAGAGCAGCCGTGCTCCAGCGACTCTATCCCGATTCAGAACTCTCCTTTCTTTGAGCGAAAACCCTCGAACTTCAGAATGTGCTCCACCTCCCTATCCATTCCCTCTTGGATGCTCATGATCATCAACATCTCCACATCCCTGTCTGACTCAGACGAATCAAAAAATTCCTCTTGCACGTATCAAGCTCCGTGTTTTTTGGACGGACAATTTTTTGACCACATAAAGGGCGAGGTGCAGTCTGAGAATAGTCAGACGCACCACGACGGCATCCGGAGAGGCAACGGTAACCGAAGAGTCGAGACGGCTGGGGAGGAGGTTTGTGGCGGGGATGACGGCGCTGAGGGATCGGGACAGCGGCAGAGCTAGTGGAGGGCATGGGTGAACGATAGAGAAGAGAGGGAATTGCTGCAGTTTATTGTGGGTCCTGCCTGTCAGATCTGATGTGACAGTCGCGTCTGACGCGTCCGGATATCCTCGTAGCCGCGCAGGTATGAGCTGGATATGAGGGCCGATTTAAGAAGTTTGGATGAGTCAAATTTTTATGACAGGTCATGCACCGTTCATCCACGTATATACGCGGTTTGAGGAGGCCGGCTGTCGTGCAGTGCAGGGCCGGATGTGGCAAGTGGCAACCAACCTACCCCTCTGAACGAGAAAAACACGCGGCACAGCATTCTGCTCGCGCTCTGCCCCCGCCCCTCCCACCTCCTGCCCTGTGCGAGTCAGAGATTTTGCGCGCGCGCCCCGGAGCAAAGAGATAGTGCCACCACTGTTCGGTGCGGTGGTTTCGGTGAAAGAGACCGACAGAGCTTGGTGGATAGAGAAGAGAGGAGGCGGAGGCGAGGTCTCCAACGGGGAGGGGATAGAGCGGTGCATTTTCTTGCCCACAGGCACGGAAGGTCAGCCTCTCGGCAGCACGGGGCGCCGCCTGTTCTTGGTATGGTATTGGTAGCTGTACATCTTCTTCATCCTTGCATCTGGTTCTTGGATTGGGGGAAATCGCTCGCCCGCTGCCTGCATGTTCGCTGCGTCAGATGGATGGTGCGATTGATTTGTCTGCCCTGCAAACGGTGAAGTGCCGGAATGTTGGGCAGAGTTCTTGAATCTTGATGCATGTGGATTTAGGTTTTCTTTTTGTCTTACTGTACCATTATTTCCCCCCGTCGAAATGCGTCGCATACTGATATCACCCCATTGTTTCGATTTTGTTGATGTTCCTGCTACCATCCTTGCGTTGCGATGATGGACTGCTATTCTGGTTCAGGTCCAGCCTTTCAAGGCTCTGCGACTCTGATGTGTGCTTTCAATTTAGCACAATCACTAAAAAGGCAAATTTTATATTTCAAAACATTCTTTTTTTTGTACACTTGAAGGGCAAATGCTATCATTACTCTGTCCCGGATTTTATTTCAGTTCTTTGTTTGGGGTTAAAATATCGTTTTATGCTTACATAGGCTAGCTCAGGTGTTACATGCCTCTGTTTTTGCAAGTCATAGCTTACCTCTTGTCCTGATTATTTTCTGCAATTAGACTTTAAAGTTGGGTTTTTTCTAATGTTGCAAATATGTGTGCTCTAAGCCTCTGACTTTGTTAATGCCTTCATTCCAGTGTGATTGCTTCAGTTCGCGCCACTAAACAGGATGGATGGGATGGACTTCCTGGCCGGAATGGGCATGAACGAGGATGATCTTATGACGATGGTGTTTGAAAAGAATGTCGCTGAGCTGAGAGAAGACACATTTGATGGTTCTGAGGAGGAAAGAAAAATCTTTGAGGAGATTTTCGGCTGCGGACAGAACACTTCTCAACCAGGCATAGGCAAAACATCTATACCGCCATCCGGCTCTGCCTCCAGCGGCAAGATGGGCTACTGCCGCATAGTGGAGTCCTTCACTCACGGCAACCTATCGAGCTATCATGTCTTCGATCACAGTGCTAGTCAACAGATGCAGAACGCAATGCCTTGCACAGATCATCATGACATGCCTTCTGAGCTCGTGGTACAGTCGACGCCACCTTCCGTTGATCGGGTGTACACTCGCAGGGCGGTGACTCACAATCACAGCAGCCACAGAGCAGAACTTTCCAGTGTCCTGGATTTGGAGAGGGTTGACATCACCAGCGTGATCGCGCGGCGGCCTGGCGGCTGTGGCTTTGGAATGCTCTGGAACCATCTCCGGCTGCACGCGCATCTTCTGATGATGGACGCCGGGTGGAAGATCGAGGGCAAGGAGAGGGGGAACAAGAGCAAGATCGAGGGCGATAAGGAAAGGGGGAACAAGATTAAGATCGACCTCATGTACGAGTCGCCCGACAAGCTCATGCGCCTGGCTTCTCTTGCTAGGGCTTGGAAGTGCTTTGGTGAGTGGCTGCTGGTCCGCTCGTCCATAGTTGATGGAGATGACTGTGGAAAGGAATGGTCCAACATGCACGACTTTCTGTGTGATTTGAAGGACACGCTGCTGTGCTTGGAACACGAGGCCCGGCGCCCCGAGCAATCCCTGTCTTTCATGCACCAGTGGCGGCTGCTCGATCCTTTCATGGCGGTGGTTTGCATCGAGAAGAAGGTCGCAGCGCTGCGGAATGGAGTGCCATTGAAGGCTGTGAACAGCACAGTCTACGGCCCTCAGTCATAGCGAGAGAAGTTGCGGAAGCAGAGCAAGGGAGAACCAAATGTGAGTCAGCAAGTACAGTTTGAAGCTGAAAGGGAGCCGGAGGCGTTGGTGGCACGGCGTGAGCTGGGGCGGCCTATCTGTGAGGAAGAGGGCTGCGTGGTAGTTTGAGTACCAGATCGACTTTAGTTGCGTGTTTGTCTTTTGCCCACTCTGTTGTACTCCTACTGTAGAACGGATCTCTAGTCTCTGCTCGGACCTTCTAACTAAGTATCTCCGTATCTCCCAAGTCACCTTGGACGTGTTTGGTTGGTCGCATTAGGTCAGGCCTGGCCTACGCGAGAAGAATCTGGCCCGTTTGATTGCCTGGGCCGCATTAAAAATCTGGCCCGCACGAACCTCAAAGCAGGCCTTAGCTTGGCTATGGAGGAACGGCGTAATCGGCCGTTTTTTGTGAGCCAGGCTCGCTCACGCGTGGCGCGCGCCCGCATGCCTTGTGACGCGTGGGAGACGAGGCGATTGCTCATAACTCCCCACGCCCCTCCTGTCACCTCCCTCGCCAGTTCACACCCACTCCCTCTCTCACCTTATCGCCTGTTCGGTTTCTCCGATGGTCACGCCGCCGTCTCGCCACGCCTCACCCACTCTGGTCATCGCCGGCAGCAATCCCATCCAAGAGAGGTGGGTTGCCGGCCTCTCCACGGCCAGAGTAGATCTGGCGGCGGCACTGCGAGCTCCCTTCCCTTTCTAAACCATGCTGCCGCCCCGGGCCAATGCAGCGCCGGTTGCTCCGGCTCCGCCATCGGAGCCGGTGGTCCTCTCCATCGGCTCGAACATCACGGGGATCCAATACCTGCCGGCGCCGTCCTTTGTAGGCCCCTCTTATGGGGGTATTGTTACCCCCATAAGAGGGTTTTCTTCTCCGCGTCCGGTGCAAGGGGAGGGGAGCTCTAGGACGTCGGCGTCATCTTTGAGCCCGCGCAGGCCGAGGTGCACGGCCGCGGCCCTGGGAATGGTCGGGTCCTCTTCATCGGCGATGGCAACACTCCTCTTCCCACCGAGGTTTTCACCACAACCGGCGTACGCTACACCGGCAACCCCCACTGTAAGCTCTCAAATTCCCCTCTGCTTCTTAGTTAGGGTTATTAGGGTAGTTCATAGTGTGCTAGATTAGATTGTGGCACGTACATTTGACCCGATCCGATCCGATTCGACTGGATTCTACTAGATTCGATCGGATTCGAAATCCACTGTTTTGGGGATGAACAAGAGTGCATGCTTACTTTGTTCATCCCACATGCCTAGATTGTTCATAATGTAGTGGTAGTTTGCATCGTTTTTAGTGCCACATTGTCACTTTCTACTGCCAAATTGTTAGTTTGTAGTGCCACATTGTGTGTTCTTGATGCTATTACTAGTGTATATGTTATTGTTAGTTTCTACTGTTGTTAGGTCTTCGGGATAAATATCAAATGTTATTTGCATACCCTCGTCAAATGCACATGCCTTGCAGAGAGCTTCCCAATTAGAGCAACCGAATGGAAGTGATTGACCGCATTGTACAGCTTAACCCGAAACGCATAACCATGTTTAGTTTTTAAGTGAGCCCTCCTCGTCTCCATATTCTCAAAGTCTTTGAAACCGAGCTTCAGCAATACATACGGTCTTGCATGGCACGGGATGTACTAATCAAATTGAGTTTTTCTAAGAAATTACATGTTGAACAAAAGAAGAACAAGTGATGATATTAATTACGACGAAATGCTTGTCGTTGTGTACTGTACAAACATCAAAGGTCTCATCCAAATTCACGGTGAAACTCCTATCATTTTGCAGGTGAGGAAACCTGTCGCACAAACCCCGGTCATCGTAGCAGTAACGGCACTCCGGGATCCTATCGTCATCAGACATCTGCTGTGTTCATAATTCAAAGATTAAACTTTTGAATATTCATCACGGGTTGACTTTCGGTCTGTTGAGTCTTCCTTGAAAACTCTCATATCACGTGGTGTATATGGTGGGGACTCCCTCTCTGATATATTCGACCGTCGGTGATGGTCGCTCCTCCCTTCGTCCCCGAGTGCATTTCACCAAATTGTCTAGCACGCGGGAACGAAGGAGAAACGACCCCACGACAATAGTCGGGATTCTTCATCTCCGACATTTGCGACTGTCGGTGATGGTCGCTCTTCTCTTCCTTCCCGTGCATTACCAAAAGGTCTATCACGAGAAAGAAGAGGAAGAGCGACCCCCACGACAACAGTCGACATTCTTCTTCTCTCATATATGGTGGACACTCCCTCGCAGTTTTTCACTATCATGTATGGAGTCCCAACAGACCTAAAGTCAACCCAAAATGTTGTTTAATGATCTTTCCGGCAAATCCAAGGCACTCGACATTTCATACATTCTAGCACAATCCATGCTAAAATTCATGGGAAAATCCAGCATGACCTTTGCTATATCGAGCGCCTGAAATTTGCTGGAATGGAAATTAATCAACACTCCGACAAAACGTAGGCCACTCTGAGGTGTTCCCTGCAAACAAAGGCCACTTGGGAAAGCACTAGTTGTACACAACACTACATATGACATGTCACACCTATGCATCCATGGAAATTGTCACAGCTACTCATTCACTACTCTAGTACATCTATCAAAACATCTACATCATCATCAACATGGGGATTTGGTTAGTCTCACCTCGAGGTCGAAGGGGGTATGTGACGGGGACGACGACGAGGATGATGCAGGGCTCCTTGATTTCTGCAAAAACAAAATATAAACAAAAACATTTTATATCTACCTTCTACAACAAAATTCTACCTATCTATTCTATTCAAAAGACCTACATTATACAATCAAAGTTTTACATATCAACTAAATCTATTAACTATATTTGAATTTTTACTAATTTACTAAAAAAAATCTACTCTATGCAAGAACAGAGTGAAGAGAGATGAGGGGGCAGGGGGTGGGAGGTGATGACCCACAAGTATAGGGGATCTATCGTAGTCTTTTCGACAAGTAAGAGTGTCGAACCCAATGAGGAGCAGAAGGAAATGACAAGCGGTTTTCAGCAATGTATTCTCTGCAAGCACTGAAATTATAGATAACCGATAGTGTTGTGATAAGATAAATTATAACGGGTAACAAGTAATAAAAGTAAACAAGGTGCAGCAAGGTGGCCCAATCCTTTTTGTAGCAAAGGACAAGCCTGGGCGAGCTCTTATATAAAGCAAAGCGCTCCTGAGGACACATGGGAATTGTTGTCAAGTTAGTTTTCATCATGCTCATATGATTCATGTTCGTTACTTTGATAATTTGATACGTGGGTGGACCGGTGCTTGGGTACTGCCCTTCCTTGGACAAGCCTCCCACTTATGATTAACCCCTCTCACAAGCATCCGCAACTACGAAAGAAGTATTAAGGTAAACCTAACCATAGCATGAAACATATGGATCCAAATCAGCCCCTTACGAAGCAACGCATAAACTACGGTTTAAGCTTCTGTCACTCTAGCAACTCATCATCTACTTATTACCTCCCAATGCCTTCCCCTAGGCCCAAATGATGGTGAAGTGTCATGTAGTCGATGTTCACATAACACCACTAGAGGAGAGACAATATACATCTCATCAAAATATCGAACGAATACCAAATTCACATGATTACTTATAACAAGACTTCTCCCATGTCCTCAGGAACAAACATAACTACTCACAAAGCATATTAATAATCATAATCAGAGGAGTATTAATTTGTTGGCGAACATATCATGCAATTTCAAAATTGCCTACGCTCACGCAAGATCTATCTAGGAGACGCATAGCAACAAGAGGGGGAGAGCATCTTCATACCCTTGAATATCGCAAAGCGGAAGCGTTTATCAACGCGATTGATGTAGTCGTACACCTTCACGATCCGTCCCGATCAAGCACCGAACGTACGACACCTCCGCGTTCAGCACATGTTCAACTCGATGACGTCCTCGCCTTCTTGATCCAGCAAGACGAGCAAAGTAGTAGATGAGTTCCGGCGGCACGACGGCGTGGTGACGGTGTTGGTGAAGGACAATCTCCGCAGGGCTTCGCCAAGCACTACAGAAACTTTGACGGAGGATAAACTAGAGGGGACAGGGTTGCCGGCACACGGCTTGGTGATTCTTGATGTGTCTTTGGTGCTAGCCCTGCCCCTCTATTTATATGTTGAGCCTTGGGGTCGAAAGTTGGAGTAAAAGCCTCCACAAAGTTGGTTTCACCCGAAAGGCAAGAGTCCTTCTCGGACTCCAAGGCCAGACGCCAGGGTTCCTGGCATTTGGATCTTGGCGTCTGGCCCCTAGACTCCGCAAAAATTCCTTTTGCATTTTCCAAAAACCTTGTGGGCTTTCCCCTTTGGCCCAAATAAAGTGTTCTCATACCCAAACATTTCGGGAAACATCCGGAACCCTTCCAGAGACCAAACACTATTATCACATATATCAATCTTTACCTCCGGACCATCCCGGTGCTCCTCGTCATGTCCGTAATCACATCCGGGATTCCAAACAACATTCGGTTACCAACATACATAACTCATATAGTACTATATCGTCAACGAACATTTAAGCGTGCGGACCCTACAGGTTCGAGAACTATGTAGACATGGCCGAGACACTTCTCCGGTCAATAACCAATAGCGGAACCTGGATGCCCATATTGGCTCCTACATATTCTACGAAGATCTTTATCGGTCGAACCTTTATGACAACATACATTATTCCCTATGTCATCGGTATGTTACTTGCCCGAGATTTGATCGTCGGTATCTTCATACCTAGTTCAATCTCATTACCGACAAGTCTCTTTAATTGTTCTGTAATACATCATCCCATAACTAACTCATTAGTCACATTGCTTGTAAGGTTTATTATGATGTGCATTACCGAGAAGGCCCAGAGATACCTCTCCGATACTCGGAGTGACAAATCCTAATCTTGATTTATGCCAACCCAACAAACACCTTCGGAGACACCTGTAGAGCA